TCGTTTTCCAATCAAAAACCCTGCGTCACGAATCAAATGTCCATCCTTTACATATCTCCTATGACCGATAAAAAAACCGCGCATCATATGGTTTAGGGATTAGGGTTCCCAATTCGGCCTGGCCACAGACCAGGTTGCCACCAACAAATTACCCTTGAAAGAGATCATAAAGGGCTATGTAAGGTTGGTTTAGAGGCTCGGCCAAACTCGACCGGCATCTTTTGAGATTTTTGGCTTGCGGCTTGGTTTAACGGATTAGAGCTCTTGTTGAGGGCTTAAAGTTTAGAGTGCAGAGCTTGCAGCGCAGGATTCGAGCTTCGGAATCACCGCTGGGATCCTTTCGTTGAAGCTTATGCTTGTGTGCACCCTAAACCCTGAACCGCCTGCAGACTCAACACTGAGGCCGAGGTGCCTGCGTTTTACTGGTGCTTAATGGAGAATGGGGGCCCGTAATAATCCCTGTATAATCCCCTGAAGAAGGCTATACATGACCGCGCGGATACTTTTGTCGCATCTACATGTTGCTACATGGCGGAGGAAATGGAGTACTCAGAGGCTCATTTTCACTGGCCTGGCTAGCATCACTCCGGAAAAATATGATAATACTTTGATGAATTGCTTCAGACGGAGGACTTGAGGCTGTTGCTGGTGGAGGAGTCGGACGCGGGCCTTGAAGGCTGTCTTGCCGATGGGCGGTCGCCTTTTTTCGGAGGTCTTCCGAGTCCTTCGCCGGATGTTCCTTCGCAGCCAGGCCCACATCTTCTCCACGCGGTTCAAATCTGAAGATGAAGCAGGCATGCGCCAGACATGGACACCGACATCCATCATGGCACGTGTGCTGCGCGGCGTGTGCAGGAAGGCCTCATTATCACATAGCGCCGTCCATGGCCCGTTCCGTTTGACAGGATCCAAGGACCTGATGGCCTTGGGCGTATGGTAAACATGTAGGGAAGATTGCAAGGCTCCTCTCTCTCCCACTAAATCCCGAACGCCTATAAAACTCAAGACCCTACACCCCAAACCCTATACATGCCCTAGGAGGGAAATCCTAGCTAGAGGTGCTCACTTTGGCCCTAAGACCTGAACGCTAAACCGCGCGGCTGAGAACCTCCAGAGGTATGAGCCGCTTGGTCACTTGGATAACAGCCTGCGCAAACATCAGGCGGTTTAGGGTTTAGGGACCCAGCTACCGAACCTTGGGATTTACTCTAAGGATACAAGCACCTAAAAAGTAAAGGGTCCAACGAATAGGGGGGGTTGGATGTAAAGGCTGTTAGTTTTAATGGTCTGGAGACATTTTCTACTACAGCTATACGAAGCTGATAAAATGATAATACTGTGAAGCATTCAGACTTCTACAGGTTTAAGGAATAAGGGGCCGGTTTAAGGGCTTAGGATTTAGGGCTTAGGAATTTTCAGCTTCAGTGGTGGTTCTGAAAACGGGGCGTTCCATGAAACGCCCCAGGGAGGTGTAGGGTTTACAGGGAGATGATTTGGGTCCCTACTAGGGATTCTGTAGGGGTAGGTTGGAAAGAAAAGCTCCCAAAACATCAGTTACTTCTTCGTGGCCTCTTTGAAAAACCCTGCAGCCCAGGGAAGCCTAAACCCTAGACCCGAAACCATAAGACCTACATATATATATATACATACATATATATTAAATATATATATATATATGTCTGTGTGTGTGTGTGCGTGTGCGTGTGCGTGTGCGTGTGCGTGTGCGTGTGCGTGTGCGTGTGCGTGTGCGTGTGCGTGTGGGTGTGGGTGTGGGTCTGTGTGTGTGTGTGTCATCCTCTGTACCAAAGA